ACGTTCTACAACAACAACAACCACCACCTCCCTACAACAACAACCACCACCACGCCCTACAACAACCACCACACGCCCCTACAACAACAACAACCACCACGCCCCTACAACAACAACAACCACCACACGCCCTACAACAACCACCACCACACGCCCCTACAACAACAACCACCACCACACGCCCTACAACAACAACCACCACCGCCCTACAACAACCAACAACCACCACGCCCCTACAACAACAACAACCACCACGCCTACAACAAACAACCACAGCCTACAACAACAACAACCACCACACGCCCTACAACAACAACAAACCACCACGCTACAACAACAACAACCACCACCGCCCTACAACAACAACCACCACACGCCCTCAACAACAACCACCACCACGCCTACAACAACAACAACCACACGCCCTACAACAACAACAACCACCACACGCCCTACAACAACAACAACCACCGCCCTACAACAACAACAACCACCACACGCCCTCCAACAACAACAACCACCGCCTACAACAACAACCACCGCCCTACAACAACAAACACAACCAACACAACAACCACCAACAACCACCACGCCTACAACAACAACAACAACCACCGCCTAACAACAACAACCACCACGCCCTACAACAACAACAACCACCACGCCTACAACAACAACCACACACCCACAACAACAACAACCACCACGCCTACAACAACAACCACCACGCCCTACAACAACAACAACCACACCACCCCTACAACAACAACAACCACCACACGCCTACAACAACAACAACCACCACCACGCCCCTACAACAACAACAACCACCACGCCTACAACAACAACAACAACCACCACACGCCCTACAACAACAACAACCACCACGCCCCTACAACAACAACAACCACCACACCTACAACAACAACAACAACCACCACACGCCCTACAACAACAACAACCACCACACTCACAACAACAACAACAACCAACCACACCACGCCTACAACAACAACAACCACCACACGCCTACAACAACAACAACAACCACCACCGCCTACAACAACAACCACCACCGCCTACAACAACAACAACCACCACGCCCTACAACAACAACAACCACCACACCTACAACAACAACCACCACGTACAACAACAACAACCACCACACGCCCTACAACAACAACAACCACCACACGCCCCTACAACAACAACAACCACCACATGCCCTACAACAACAACAACCACCGCCCTAACAACAACCACCACACGCCCTACAACAACAACAACCACCACACGCCCTACAACAACAACAACCACCACACGCCTACAACAACAACAACAACAACCACCACACCTACAACCACCACGCCCTTAACAACAACCACCACGCCTACAACAACAACAACCACGCCTACAACAACAACCACCGCCTACAACAACAACCACCACGCCCTACAACAACCACGCCCTACAACAACAACCACCACGCCTACAACAACACAACCACACGCCCTACAACAACAACAACAACCACCACGCCCTACAACAACAACCACCACGCCCTACAACAACCACCACACGCCCTACAACAACCACCACACGCCTACAACCAACAACCACCACACGCCTACAACCACCACCGCCTACAACAACAACAACCACCACGCCCTACAACAACAACAACCACCACGCCCTACAACAACAACAACAACAACCACCACGCCCTACAACAACAACAACAACAACCACCACGCCTACAGCCACCACCACACCTACAACAACAACAACCATCACACCTACAACAACAACAACCACCGCCTACAACAACAACAACCACCGCCCTACAACAACAACCACCACCACGCCTACAACAACAACAACAACCACCACACACGCCCTACAACCACCACACGCCCAACAACCACCACCGCCACCACGCCCTACAACAACAACAACCACCACAACAACAACCACCACCGCCCTACAACCACCACACGCCCTACAACCACCACGCCCAACAACCACCACTGCGCAACCGCCCTACAACAACAACAACAACCATACAACAACAACAACAACCACACGCCCTACAACCCAACAACAACCACCACGCCCTACAACAACAACAACAACCACCACACGCCCTACAACAACAACAACAACAACCGCCTACAACAACAACCAACCACCACACGCCTACAACAACAACAACAACCACCACACGCCTACAACAACAACAACAACAACCACCACACGCCCTACAACAACAACAACAACCACCACACGCCCTACAACAACAACCACCACACGCCCCTAAACAACAACAACAACAACCACCACACGCCCTACAACAACAACAACCACCACACGCCCCACAACAACAACAACAACCACCACACGCCCTACAAAACAACAACCACCACACGCCCTACAACAACAACAACCACCACACGCCCCACAACAACAACAACCACCACACGCCCTACAACAACAACAACCACCACACGCCCTACAACAACAACAACAACCACCACACGCCCTACAACAACAACAACAACCACCACACGCCCCACAACAACAACAACCACCACACGCCCCACAACAACAACAACCACCACACGCCCTACAACAACAACAACCACCACACGCCCTACAACAACAACAACAACAACCACCACACGCCCTACAACAACAACAACAACCACCACACGCCCTACAACAACAACAACCACCACACGCCCTACAACAACAAACAACCACCACACGCCGCCCAACAACAACAACCACCACACCTACAACAACAACAACCACCACACGCCCTACAACAACAACAACCACCACACGCCCTACAACAACAACAACCACCACACGCCCTACAACAACAACCACCACACGCCCTACAACAACAACAACAACCACCACACGCCCTACAACAACAACCACCACCACACGCCCTACAACAACAACAAACCACCACACGCCCTACAACAACAACAACCACCACACGCCTACAACAACAACAACCACCACACGCCCTACAACAACAACAACCACCACACGCCCTACAACAACAACAACAACAACCACCACCACACGCCCTACAACAACAACAACAACCACCACACGCCCTACAACAACAACAACCACCACACGCCCTACAACAACAACAACCACCACACGCCCTACAACAACAACAACAACAACCACACGCCCTACAACAACAACAACCACCACACGCCCTACAACAACAACAGCCACCACACGCCCTACAACAACAAACGACCACCACACGCCCTACAACAACAACAACCACCACACGCCCTACAACAACAACAACAACAACCACCACACGCCCTACAACAACCACAACAACCACCACACGCCCTACAACAACAACAACAACCACCACACGTCACAAACAACAACCACCACACGCCCTACAACAACAACAACAACAACCACCACACGCCCTACAACAACAACAACCACCACACGCCCTACAACAACAACAACCACCACACGCCCTACAACAACAACAACCACCACACGCCCTACAACAACAACCACCACCACACGCCCTACAACAACAACAACCACCACACGCCCCATAAACAACAACAACCACCACATGCCCTACAACAACAACAACCACCACACGCCCTACAACAACAACCACCACACGCCCTACAACAACAACAACAACCACCGCACGCCCTCAACAACAACAACAACCACCACACACCCTACAACCATCACCACACGCCCTACAACCACCACACGCCCAACAACCACCACTGCACGCCTACAACCACCACACGCCCAACAACCACCATGCACGCCTACAACCACCACACGCCCAACAACCACCACTGCACGCCCTACAACCACCACATGCCCTACAACCACCACTGCACGCCCTACAACCACCACACGCCTAACAACCACCACCACACGCCCAACAACCACCACTGCATGCCCTACAACCACCACCACGCCCTACAACCACCACTGCACGCCCTACAACCACCACCAACAACCACCACCACACGCCCTACAACCACCACTGCACGCCCTACCACCACCACACGCCCTACAACCACCACTGCACGCCCTACAACCACCACACGCCCAACAACCACCACTACACGCCCTACAACCACCACACGCCCAACAACCACCACTACACGCCCTACAACCACCACTACACGCCCTACAATCACCACCAGGAACCAGCTGTCACTTCCGACTGCACCATTTGGGTCACCATCTCCGTCGCGTCGCCTGGAGGAGAAAGTTATGGCGGGGTGAGGGTGCTACTGGGTGCTGGTCTTGTTCCTTCCTTCCTTCCTTCCCTTCATTCCTTTTCTTTATTTTTCTTTTATTTCTTTTCATTCCTTACCTTTTTCTTTCTTTCTTTCTTTCCTCCTTTCTTTTTCCTTCCTTTGTCCTTCTTTCTTTTCTTCCTTCCTTTTTTTCTTTCTTTTCTTTCCTTCCTTCTTCTTACCTCTTCTTCCATTCTGCTTCCTCACCTCCCTCTCTTTCTTCTGTTTCCTTCCTCCTCCTCCTATGTAACACTTCCACACCCTCTCTCAAATTCTCCTCCCTTCTTTTCATCTTTTCTTTTCGTTTTTTTCTTCATTATCTTTCTCTCTTTTCTCATTCTTCCTTCTTATGGTGATTGGTCGCCCTCTTGACTGTGATTGGCCGCCCTCTGACAGTGATTGGTCTCCCCTTGACAGTGATTGATTGCCCTTGTCAGTGATTGGTCGCCCTCTTGTCAGTGATTGGTCGCCCTCTTTACGGTGATTGGCCGTCTTAACAGTGATTGGTCTCTCTTGACAGTGATTGATTGCCTCTGTCAGTGATTGGTCGCCCCTTTATAGTGATTATCTGTTTTCGGTGATTAGCCGCCCGTTTCAGTGATTGGCCGCACTTCTTAAAGTGATTGGCCGACATGCCTCACTGGAGTGCCTCATCTCGAAAACTTATCTCGACAGTGCCTCATCTCGACAGTGCCCATCTCTCGGAGTGCCTCCAAGCCTCATCTCGACAGTACCTCATCTCGACAGTGCCTCATCTCGGCAGTGCCTCATCTGGCAGTCATCCTGACAGTGCCTCATCTCGACAGTGCCTCATTCGACAGTGCTCATCTCGGCAGTGCCTCATCTCGGCAGTGCCTCATCCTGACAGTGCCTCATCCCCAGTGCCTCATCGCGACAGTGCCTCATCCTGACAGTGCCTCATCTCGACAGTGCCTCATCTCGACAGTGCCTCATCTCGACAGTGCCTCATCTCGACAGTGCCATCTCGACAATGCCTCATCTCGACAGTGCCTCATCTCGACAGTGCCTCATCTCGACAGTGCCTCATCTTGGCAGTGCCTCATCCTGACAGTGCCTCATCCTGACAGTGCCTTATTCTGGCAGTGCCTCATCCTGACAGTGCCTCATCCTGACAGTGCCTCATCGCGACAGTGCCTCATCCTGACAGTGCCTCATCCTGACAGCCATCTCGACAGTGCCTCATCTCGACAGTTCATCGGGACACTGCCTCATCTGACAGTGCCTCATCCTGACAGTACCTCATCGCGACAGTGCTCATCTCGACAGTGCCCCATCTCGACAGTGCCTCATCCCGACAGTACTCATCGCGACAGTGCTCATCTCGACAGTGCCTCTCTCGACAGTGCCTCATCTCGACAGTGCCCCATCTCGACAGTGCCTCATCCTGACAGTACCTCATCGCGACAGTGCCTCATCTCGACAGTGCCATCTCGACAGTGCCCCATCTCGACAGTGCCTCATCCTGACAGTGCTCATCGCGACAGTGCCTCATCTCGACAGTGCCCTCATCTCGACAGTGCCTCATCTCGACAGTGCCTCATCTCGACAGTGCCTCATCTCGACAGTGCCTCATCTCGACAGTGCTCATCCTCTCGACAGTGCCTCATCTCGACAGTACCTCATCGCGACAGTGCCTCATCTCGACAGTGCCCCATCTCGACAGTGCCCATCCCGACAGTACTACCGCGACAGTGCCTCATCTCGACAGTGCCTCATCTCGACAGTGCCTCATCTCGACAGTGCCCCATCTCGACAGTGCCTCATCCCGACAGTACCTCATCGCGACAGTCCTCTCTCGACAGCCTCATCTCGACAGTGCCCCATCTCGACAGTGCCTCATCCTGACAGTGCTCATCGCGACAGCCTCATCTCGACAGTGCCTCATCTCGACAGTGCCTCATCTCGACAGTGCCAGCCATGATAACGGCCTCGGAGAGCTCACCGTCATCGCTGTTATTGCTTCCTGTGTTGTCTTGCAACAACCTATCGACCCGCCCCTCCTTCACCTCCTCCAGGCACCTCCTGCCTCCTTCACCTCCTCCAGGCACCTCCTGCCCTTCCTCCAGGCACCTCCCGCCCTCCTCCACCTCCCACGCCCCTTTCATGTCACCAATGTGCTCACGTTGCCTTTATGACTCTAATGCCAGACCACCCACACGCCTTCCTCACACCTACACGTTCCTCACACCCCACACCTACACGCCTCGTCACCGCTGCCTTCCCCACACCCACACGCCTTCCCACACGCCTACCTCACACCCACACGCCTCGTGCACACCCAAGCGTCTTCTCACACCTCCACGCCTTCCTCACACCCACACGCCTCACTCCACACGCTCACGTTCTCACACCTACACGCCTTCCCACACGCCCACCTCACACCTCCCACACGCCTCGTGCACACCTGCTGTCTTCCTCACACCTACACGCCTTCTCACACCTACACGCCTTCCTACACGCCTACCTCACACCTCCTCACACGCCTCGTCCTTCCAGACAACACCTACGCCCTATGACCTTCACCTACCTTTTAACCTTGCACTTACCCACGCCACACTCACGCCACACCCACGCCACACTCACGTCACACCCCACGTCACACTCACCACTCTCACACCACACTCATGCCACACCCACGTCATTCCATACCACATCCACGCCTCACCCACGCCTCACCCACGCCACACCCACATCTGTGTTTTCTATATTTTCATCTGTTACGACCCTTGAGCCTTATGTTGTAACAATGCACAAATTCAACTTCTTTTATATTATAGGTCCAAGGAATAGATCCCACCAAAATCATCACCTCATTACTATGGGGTATATTGAAACTAATGAAGTAGATTTAATTACAGAATATATTAACAATCAAACAATAAAACAAATATATCAGTTATGTACAAAAATAAACAAATACAAACTAACTCTGATCAAATAAATGACTCAACCGAGTGACAAAATTATGAACATAAAAGTAAAGACTAAACATTTATTTAGTTTAGCAGCCACTAACGCCTCATAAATAAGTAAGTTATTTTCGTGGAATTCTAAAATATGACTAACAACAATCTCACATATAATGCTTGGTGTTCTAAAAGTCGAGCAAGGTTCACATTATATCACTAGAAATATACTGTACAATAAGAGAGGAGATACTAAACTTATGACTGCCAGCCCAATACTGGCGTCACTGGCCTTGGGAGGTAAAAAAAGCGAGCAGAAGTGGGCGGAAATGACGTCACAAACAAAAGACGTTCACTTTGCGAATCCACAATCAACCATTGAACTATCACTGTAACATCATCCTCATAATAACTGCCTTGATACTCGCCCCAAGAATGCCCACGTTCCCCACGTCTCCTGAAGACCCATCCTAGACATCACCGCGCCTCCCACCCTCCTGCAAACCCATCCTAAACCAACCCCGCGCTCCCACGTTCTTGCAGGCCCATCCAACCAACCCGCGCCCCTACAGTCTTGTTAGTATCTCGCAAGGATTACCAGTCCCACGCCTCCAGTCTTCCGTCAGTTGTGTGTGTTTGATAAGGAATATTAAGGTCAACGTAATGTGGGGCGTAAAGCTGCTATAGGTGGGCGTAAGATGGGCGTGCGAGTATAATTGGGCGTAAGATAGGCGAAATGTGGCGTATTGTGACTTAATGTGCGCGCAAGATGGGCGTGATGTTCGGTTAATGGGCGTAACATGGGCACAATGGGGCGTGATGCGGAATTGATTTTGTTCTTTATGTGTCCCGTGAAAGTCCACGACCCAACCTAACCTAACCTAACCTAACTTAACCTAACCTAACCAACCTAACCTGATTAGACTGGAGGTCATTTCACCCGTCCCTTCCAGAGCAGTGGTTGACCGTAATTTCTCCGGCGGCTCAGAGTAGAGCTGAGAGTCACCAGCAGATGGGTTGCCCTGCGCCTCCCAGCTGGCCTTTGTTGCGTGACCATCTGACTGTGATATAATTATTTGGATATAATGACGTAATGTATAACTAACCGGCGGACACCTTATATAACCATCCGACTACCTGATACAACCTACCGATCCGCCTCGAAACATTTTCCAGTCCTGCCAGCCACTTGCATAACCATCCGGATATGTGAAGAGAATCATTAACCTGGTGAGTCGGTGCTACCTGGGCATGTGCCGGCCGGATAGCTGGCTGCCAGGTAGGTCAGTGAGAGGTGATGCTGGTGCGGGGTTGTCATGGTAACTCTGACGTTGATGCTGGGTCGTCTACCTGAGTGTGTAGGTGGGATGTACCCTGAGTGTGTAGGTGGGATGTACCCCTGAGTGTGTGTGGGGATGTACCCCTGAGTGTGTAGGAAAGTCTTTGTACATATGAATGATTAAGTATGTATATGTATTTATATGATCGTATACCTGTATGTGAGTATATATATGTACAGTAGGTGTGTATATTTTCATGTGAGTATTTTGTGCATGTGACTTTGTGTATGGAACTTAAGAGTATATATATATATATATATATATATATATATATATATATATATATATATATATATATATATATATATATATATATATATATATGTGTGTGTGTGTGTGTGTGTGTGTGTGTGTGTGTGTGTAAGGTCGTGTGTATAAATCAATGACGATGGAGGAAGGTGAGGCGAGGAGGAGTCATGTCAGATGAGAGAGTGACAGACAGACAGACAGACAGATAATATATTCTCGTAGATGGTTCAGACAAAACAGTGTGTGTGTGTGTGTGTGTGTGTGTGTGTGTGTGTGTGTGTGTGTGTGTGTGTGTGTGTGTGTGTGTGTGTTGGTAAATAAGTCGAGGAAATTGTCTTAAAGCTTGCAGTATAATATGTGACATCGAGTAGTGGTATAGCGGCGGTTCTGTTGAGGTCGTTCACCCGATTTACTACTATTGAGTGACGACTTGAGACGACTTGTGTTAACTTTTGTCGACATGTAGATGACTTGAGGCGACATGTGATGACCTTTGTGATGACTTGTAACGACTTTTAACGACCTTTGATGATTTACGACGATTTTCACGACTTATGACGACTTATACCGACCTGATGACTCCTGACGACTTGTGATGACCTGTGACGACCTGTTACGACTTGTGACGACCCTGACGACTAATATTAATTAAAATTAATCTACGACTCTCAACATGGGTTAACAAAGGGAAAATCTTGTCTAACAAATCTGCTAACGTTTTTAGGAAAGTTCCGAGGTAGTAGATAATGTACGATGATGTTATTTACTTAGACTTTAGCAAAGCATTTGACAGAGTACCGCATCAGAGGCTTCTGAGAAAATTAAGGCTCATGGTATCGAGGGGAAATTTTAAATTGATAAAATCATGGCTCACCGATAGAACGCAGAGGATCAGCGTAGATGGTGTTAACTGAGTGGGGCCGTAACCAGTGGGGTTCCCAGGGATCAGTACTAGGCCCACTTTGTTATAATCTACATAAACGATCTAGATACTGGGATCAGCAGTGACATAAGCAAGTTTGCGGATGACACCAAAATAGGGCGGCAAATTAATTCAGGGCAGGATGCAAATGCATTACAGGAGGATCTAAATAAACTGCGTGGTCTGAAAATGGCAAATGAAATTCAACACCAGCAAGTGCAGCGTACTTAATATTGGAAGAACAAATACTTATAATGTATACAGCCTTAACAACATCAACCTAGAGAAGTCGACTTGTGAAAGAGACCTAGGGGTACTTAGGCCCGGACCTACGGCCCAGGAAAACAGTGCGTTAATGTTCGAAATAAGGCAAACAGAGTATTGGGTTTTATATCTAAAGTGTAAGTAAAAGAGTGCCGAGGTCTTCTTGCAACTATATCTAGGCTAGTCAGGCCGCACTCGATTATGCGGTTCAGTTCTGGTGCCCCTATTATAGAATGGATATAAATTACCAGAGTCGGTGCAGCGAAGAATGACAAAAATTCGATTTGAGAAACCTATAATGAGAAGGTTAAAGAAACTTAACTTGCATTCCTAGAAAGACGAAGAGTGCGGGGAGATATGATCGAAGTATTTAAGTGGGTGAAAGGAATCAATAAAGGATATAGATAAAGTTCTTATAATATCCGAGCAGGATAGACCCGGAGCAACGGATTCTGGATAAGTTTAGGTTTAGGAGGGAGATAGAAAGGAACTGGTTCACAAATAGGGTGGTGGACGAGTGGAACAAGCTTAGCAACTTTGTAGTAAGTGCGGGAACTCTGGAAAGTTTCAAAAGGAGGCTAGATAGATTCATGGATGATAGAGAGTGGTAGTAACTCGACAGGAGCTGCCATGCACAAGCCAACCGGCCTATTGCAGACTCTTATGTTCTTATGTTCTTAATGTCAACACTGGAAGGAAAGTAAACACAGTCATGCAACACACACACAAACTCCTCCTCAACAACATGGTATATCCAGTGTTTATCGCCTGATGTTTATACTCCTAATTCAGTAACTCGTGTGTGTGTGTGTGTGTGTGTGTGTGTGTGGCATTATTTCCACATTGTTTCATACATATAGTTGAT